TGAAGAAAGTGTAGATGAAAAATACATATAATTATGAATAGATACATTAATCTTATGTTTTAAAATTATTCATCGAAATGTGACATATATGAACATATTGTATATATTATATGCGAATATGTATTTATTTATTTTGAAATGTATATTCGTTTGGAAATTGTGATAGATCAGTCAAATGTTATTTAATATGTTTTAAATATAAACGACTTTTGGGGAATATGAAACACAGCGAAGAAAAATGAGAAGTCACTCTCTAAGAATTCTATAAATACACACCATAAGAGAATTTTGATTAACTAACCAAGCAAACAATTACTCATACAAATACAACTCATACTACAATTATTCTTCTGATGTGATCCTCACATAGACGTACAAAAAATATGTTTACATGAAAGAAAAATACACGTTTTCCTACATAATATTCTTTGTGCGTCTGTGAAGAATCACATCAAAGTAAGTAGTTTTATTCATTATTATGTCGCCACAGAGTTATCTTATAATATTACTTGTGAATGCTCTCTTTTGACATGAAGTATACTGTTATACCAACTTCTGGATAGTGTATTGACAGTGTACTTATTGTAGAGTGAGATACAAGTTATTTTGCTCAGTAGTTAAAATGAAATGTATACCGTTTTCTATAGGTTTTTGCTATTGTAGATTTTTTATTATTCACTGGAAATTTTAGAAAAAACTCTAATCATATAGAAAATTGTTATTAGCTCAAATGAGATCCAATATTGTGTAAGAAATACCTTTTATGTGAGATTTTTTAATTTGAACTATAACAATTTTCCTAATTTATAGGATTGTTATAATTATTATTTCTCATTTGCAATTATCTCAAATAACCAAAAATATCATTTTATATATTATGTATTTCAGTTAAAATTGAAATTTAAAAAGTTGTTTAATTTATAAAAAGATTTCCAAAATTTGAAAAATTATGTTACCATATATTGCGGTTTAAATCAAAATGTAAAGAAGAAAATCAAAAAATTTCAATATTTTTGTATGAGTTAATTTGTGTGAATTGGACGAAGAAGATGTGTGTAAATATTATGTCCATATATCAAAAGCGAAAGTTAAAAAGTCAAACTGGTTGGTTGAAACAGTATTCCCAATAAAAACATAGAAAATTGTTGACATTGAATATTTTATAATTATCCTATCCTATAAAATAAGAGTTGCTTCGATTATAAACATACTTCTTAAATTTTCTCTTCCACCTTCAACGCCTGATAAGATATTAGAAAAAAATGGAGAATAACCAAGAAAAACGTTATGATGAAAATGGATTACTGAAAATTAATCCACCACTATTGAACATGAGATTTGGTGTGGAAGAAACACCATCACCTCCTCCAATTTCTGAATCAGAGATTGAGGAAACTAATATATGAGAAGAGATGAATGACTTTCTCAGCAAATCAACTGTGAAAGCCATCGAGGTTCCTTCTGAGGTAATTTAAACTTTTAATTATTCGGTTTTATTGATGATTTCTGTATTATTGGATGTTTATATAAATATGTAATATCTGCAGCATGATGAAGAAATATCGACTGATGATTCAAAGGAACGTTGCAAGAAAGGAAAACACGATCTCCATATAGACCTGAAGATAGGTTTGAAATGTATAGAATGCGGCTTCGTTAAGACAGAGATCCGGTACCTAGATACATCTCCGTGGGTAAGCTGTTAATAATCCATTAATACATTGATTTGTTTAACTAATATGTTTGAAGCTAACAACATTATATGTTTTTGAATCTTGCAGGCACATAAGAATAAACGTGGAAGGAGAAATTTTTGAGTTTAGCTAAAATTATCTCTGTTTTTTTTTGTACCTTTATTATCTATCTTTATTGGAATTATCTATGCATGTTGCTACAATAAATTTTCCCAAATCACTTTCTCATATATGTGTATTGATTCGTAAGATTATTGTTCATTTGCGTTTTTTAAAAAAAAACTTTGAAAACCACACTCTTCATAGTCACCAATCATAGCCTATAAGCTCATCTGCTACATTGATTATAATCCACATACATAAAAACATCGATAATTTATATAATATTTTACACTCAACTCTAAATGTTATAAGAAACGCTTAACGTCAGTTGTCAGCACTGAAATTAAAACGTCAATCGGAATTAATTTCAATTTACTCTTACACGTAAAGTTGTTAATATATCAATAGTGCGCTGTGGATCAAAAAAAAAAGATCAATAGTGATCATTGGATGAAATTGCCTAAGAAGCGTTATAGTTGCATCGTTTGATATAGTTATACATAAGCAAATTAATAAAGGTAAGTAATAAATGTAATGTCGAAGTCTACTTACATAAATCGTTATGGTACTAAAATTTTCATAATATAAAAAATGGCCGTTACTATATTGTATTAGTATACTTTGGAAATATCTTATGATTATGGAAATGTATAATATTCGATAGAAGAAAATGTCTGTAAAGGAAGTAACCTTTCTAAAATCAAATGGATTCTACATATAGATAGTATATGTTATATCCAAAACTATACATATATACATGTAAAATATATAAACAACAAATACAATGATATTAAATGACATAAGTAAATTGGCAATTAAACATTACCATAAATAAATACTAAATAAGTCAATTACAAATATACGAAAGTAGGTTCGAATCCATCCCAGTTTTATGGGAAAATATTACATAATGGGAATGTTTAACAGTTACGGGAAAATATAAGTACATAATAAGGATTAAAATTATGGTCATGTCGGATCTCCATAGATATCGGTAAAAGGAAGTCTGACAAAAAATAATTTCAAGTTAACAATTGAAAAACAATATTAAATAAACCATAATATATATATTATATATATTAATACCATGAAAAATTACCAGTCAAGATAATCATAAACCTCTTTTATGTGAGGATTGAAAAGTATTTCAGAATGATCTCCAGCATTCCTTATGTGATATCTCCCTGTATGATTTTTAAAAATAAATAGCACACATGTTAGAAACCAAAATATTATATTAAGAAAGTGGAATTAAATGTTCCCACTCGATTATAAAATTTAATTACTAACCTTCAGAATCATAGGTCAGACGAAACATGCGCAAAGTCAAGACTGTTTCATAAGTACCTATGTCTTTCCACTTCTTCCAGAAATCCAGAGCAGTCTTTCCAATGAGTGTTATGTCCATATCAATATAACTAAACCAAAAAATTATGTTACCACAACATTAACAAAAATACATATGTACAATATAAGACAAATTATTGAACTTTACATATCTTATAATATAAAACATCTTACTTCATGTCCCTTATCTGAATGTCCAATTTGTGAAAAGGTCCTAAAATCATCTCGTAGGGATCATCAATGTCAGTACTTAGTTCATCATCAACATAGATGATTACGCCGATCAAGTCGACAAATCAAAAATTACATTACACAATATTATACTAATTCTTAAATTGAATAAAGGTGAGAAGTCTAACCGATAGAGTACTCAGTAGGGAAATTCCCTCGTACAATGGCATCAAATGACATAAAATCCATCATATGCTTAGGATTGACTTGAAAGGTCTTATCTACAACAGTATCGGCGGTTCATGTTGATGAAGTGGTAGTTTATAGTATTTCTGAATGATCCGAACGCATTGAAAACGTTGAAGAATTTGACATAATTCCATTCTCCTTCTTTAAACTTTGGACCGAGCAAAGGAATAAGATCCTGATCTATCGATGTCTCTATTTTGTAGCCCTAAATTCGTGAACCAAATAATCATTTAACATTTTCATGTGTTTAAATGTTCATAACATGCAACAGAATAAAAAACTTCAAAAAGATGAACTTACATTTTCGTCACCGAGAATAAGATGCAATTCCTGGCGATGATTACGGTAGTTGAATTGTTCCCAAACTCGTAGAGCTTTTATAAGAATTATGGAGTAAGTTTTTGTGGGAGAAAGATACTCAAGGGTATAATAGCGAGGCATGTTTGAGGAAAATGATTGTTTTTCTCAACCTTTAGGTTTGTTTTCGTTAAGATGTTGAGACATTTTTTTACTTGGTCCTTTATATGTAAAGCAAAGCAAGTATAGGGTTTGAAATGTTGTGTCGTTTTGTAAAAATAGAATAAATTGCAACCTTTGACATTTGTTGCATTACGTGAATTACGAACAACCCAAATTGGTTACATTCAATGTATAGGTATATTTAACTTTTATATTGATTAAATATATATAGAAAATATGTAAAGATGGTAAAAAATGTGATACCTTGTATTGACTACTTCTCTTTAATTAAATCAATTACTTCATTTCATTAATTACAAATAATTAATAAGAGTACAATCCTAGAATTATGTACTCTATTTTTTAATACAGACACAAATCACGGACGATACAAATTTTGAATATCATAGTTATTTTTTGTTGAAAACAAATAGAGTACAATTCAAGAAAAAATGCTAACACAATTGAATTGTTTGGATAAGTTATCTCAATGAGAATAATATATAAGTTAAGATTTTCAAGTTTAACACTATAAAAATAAGAAATAGGAAACAATAATCTCTTTAACTGAGAATAGTCTTCATAGTCATCATGGACCGGAGGAAAATCAATGGAAGTTGCAAGCCTGAAATAATATTAGGATTTTCTATCATCACATATATATATATTTATAAAAACTAAACTACATTAATTGAAACTCTCGATAGAAGTTGCAAGCCTGAAATAATATTAGGATTTCCAATTTTAATTCTATTTTTTTATGCTAATACATTAAAATATATAACATGGGACTGACGAACATAGTATGCAAAACCCAAACATATTTTATTAATAATTCAAATTCGAGAAACAATTAACTAACCAGATCCAAAAAAATATCCAAATGCTCAAAATACTAAACCAAATATTGGAAAAAGAGAAAATTATTCAATAAAAAATTGAATAACAACAAATTCACAAACTCCAGAATATATAGGATCACATCTTCCCATTTTTTCCTCCCTCTTTGCCAAAACCTTTACCACCACCACGTCCTCGAGTTCGTCCCTTTGCAACACCTTCATTGGATTCACTTGTAATTAGAGCGTTCACCAAAACACCATCACTCTTCAGTGTATCCTCATCAATCACTTCATTAGCATATGTCGTTTCCACACTATTGCTACTATTATATGACTTCTTAGACGATGAGGATGAGTCGACTGAATCTTTAGGATCATCACGCTCACGCTTTGATAAAGGAGTTTTGATATTGCCAGAAACATCATCCGAAGACTCTTGGCTATGTGTGTTCATCAGTGATGCCTATAAATAAAAAAATTTCAGATATATTATTGTCCCATAAATATAAAAAATACATACACAACCATTTTAATTTTACCTGATCGCCAGACATAAGTAAACTCTGATCACCCTCATCTTCAGATTCATTCGCATCATCAACGGTGGTAGTCAAAACCTGATTTCCTTTCCAAACCTTTCCGACCTTGTATGTATTACTACCACCGTAGAGATTTTCTTTCTCAACACAAATTAGAAAATGAAAGGTCTTCCCAACCAAGTTTTGCAGTGCATCAGGAACGACATCCGGATCTTGTATCTATGTTGAAAAATAATAAGTATTGGGGAAATGATTTTTTAATATAAAACTAATTGAAATAAAATATTTAAAGTGTATAATACCTCATCGTATGTCCCTTTTAAAATTTCATCAGTAGATTGGTTAACAATATCCTTTGCATTTGAATCAAAAAGAAAACATTTGATCTTGCTTGTGTTGTCCATTACACAAAGATGGAGTTTGTATCTACAATATAATTTAAAATGTAAACATGTGATTATATGTTTTGGCAAACAATTTTTTATTTAGTAATTTATAAAATTTGGTTACCTCGCACTGACAGATGAAACTTTGGCATCACATGTTTCACATGAATAAAACTTCTTAGTTTTATCACAAAATTTCTCGTCTTCGCGTTTTGGGATTTTGTAGACCTTTTTCCCACACTTAGTGAAAACCAAGTAAAACCATGACCAATCTGTATCAACCGTGTATACAGTACAGATGATTTTTCATTTCCCAACCTGAATATTTAACAATATAACAGTCACAATAATTGCATAAACTCTATTGATAAATTAACACAAAAACTAAAGTTTGAGTTATACCTTTAATTTAGTCGATACCATATATAAGATTTTATACCCTTTAAGTATTTTATGTTTTTAGTTTTATATTAAAAAAATCATTTCCCAAAGACATATCATTTTATCAATATATAATAAAGTTATGACAACTTTGTTATATACCTCCAGATAATCTTGCAGTTCAGCAATAGTCACCATTGGAAACTGATCAAAATTACTCTCATCATCATAAGAAATCCTCTGATGTGGCTTGCTAATCAAGAAAGTAATATTTCCGCCATTTGCAGGTAAACTTCATATTGGAAAACAATTATTATTAATAATCACATTGTCAAAATTTGTGTTTGATATATAAATAAATTGTTTACCTATTTTTGAAATAAATGACATCTGGATCGTTAAGATCTATGAGCACCTTAGAGGTTTGAAAAGAACTAGTAATTTGACGTTCACCTATGATCATTTAAACAAATAATCAAAATGCATTGTATTTTATGATGAAACACCAATTTTGTAATTAGATATTTTTACCTCTCAAAACATTGATTTTTCCAAAACGGATTACAATGATGACCCCACGTTTGCCAGCATTCTGACAAGCCGAATAGACTTGCTCGCCAAATTTACCCCAAAGTATGCATGGTAAGCGCTCATCTCTACATATAATACGGTTCAATTAGAGTAGAGTAACTATTTAAAAGAATAAAAAATAACGTAAATTTCATAAAAATAACGTTAACCGTATATACTCACTTCGCATTACACAAGTCGAACTCAAGCTTGCTTGTGTCCTTGTTCATGACAGGGATTGTTTCAAGTTCACGTACACTTTCAACTCGTCCAATAACATCTGGTATTTTGAAAAATGACGTCAAGTGAATACGTATATAAATGTAATAAACTAACTATATAGATAAATGGAAACTCACCGATAAAAAAACTTTTACTTGTGGAATCGTTCAAGATTGTATCATAATCTAAGAACTCAAAAAATCGACTGTCAGATCGATTTGCACTTTTGGTGACAACGGTGGATGAAATGAAGGACATTTTAAATTGATGCTTTGTGGCCCGGTATTGACCGGACGCCTGGTTCAACGAAAAGTTCTCGATGAACTTCCATTCACCGACAACCATCAACCGCTCAGAACGATGCAAAAGGTTTTTCTTGACTGTGGCGTGAATTTTGGTACCCTGAAAATAAGAAATGTTTATAAGTAAACCATTTAGTTAGTAGTACGAAAATGTAATTACACATTCACTTGATCATACCATTTCATCTGCGAGAATTATTTCGAGAGACTCTCCACCCTTAGTCTGGTATTGCTTCCAAGTGTGAAGCACCTTCACTTGCACCTTCCACCCAGTCTTGAATGGCTTTAAGTCAGCCAAAGGGGTTAACCTCATGTTGGAAGCCATTGCAAATAATTGAATTGAAGTAAAAGTTGAGAAAGTTGTAGTTGATGTAGAGTGAAATGGAATACGGTAGTGTCGTATTTATAGTGAAACAGTATAGGGTTTTCGCAATACCGTTGAGCTGTATGTAATCTGGCGGCCAAGTATATTTTTCTCAATTCAAATTTAACACAATATTGATTGGAAAATAGCGAATCCTACATTTTTTGTAAAGTAGTTGTTATTGAGTATCTATACGGTGATCCGAAATAAATGGGATAGTATTCAATAACAAACTAATAGAATATTCTCATAGATTGAGATTTAGAAATAACTCGAAATTAAATTTCTAGATGTTATACAATGCCGTTAAAAGGGAAAATACATTGGCGGCTAAGTATATAAGTTCAAATTTAAATTAATACAATTATTTGGCAAATAAGTAAATACGTCATTTTTGGAAGTTGTTATTATTGTGTTAATAATCGAGTATGCGATAAAAAAGATTTGAAGATTTGTATATTTTCTATTATATTTTGAATTCAAGATTCTCTCATGCGTAAAATGTTCTTAATATGTAAATATATTTATTGCGATATCTTTTTCATTTGTCCTGACTATTAAGAGCTAAATATTACGTAAAGGGATTACATCATCAAAAATAATGAATTGCCTAAAATAAGAAACGGGTTAAATTAAAGGATCCGAGTCCTTTTAAACGGGTCAAAATAAAGGACGCGGATCCTCTTTTTTTTTGTTCGTGGAATACATTTTTTACAATGACATTTCATGTAATATAACACGTAACACCGATGTCAATTATGAAAAACAACGTTAGAAGATGTGATTACTCGACATGAAAAACAACGTTAGAAGATGTGATTACTCGACATGGTTATTTACAAAAATACAGCAAAATGTGTTCAACTATTTAAAATATAGTAAGAAAACTACTCTGAAATATTAATTATCTGTTTGATTTCAATCCAAAAGAATATATGAAAGAAAAAACAACACTACAAACAAATAATAATGTTGTTCTTAAATTATATTGTACTAAATTTGCACAAAACTAATGTGTCGTATTAGCTCAACTTCTACATGATTTGGAGTTTATTTCCGGGTATGAATTGTTCCTGGTATGAATTGTCTTTGCACTCGAAACACTTGAAAATCTATGTGTTTCAATTTCTTTATTGCATGGATAAAGTCTACATTTCCAGTTATCATGACCATACGAGGTTTATGACATTTGAGGAGTTATTTGTATGTTCAAGCCATCGTAGAATAGATAATATTCTTAGCAATAAGAGATCCCTTTTACTTTGGTTGGATTTTCATTTCCTCGTGCTTAGGATGAGATAATCTTCTTAGCAATAAGTTTTTCACACCCTCTTTTTATGAGTTCATTAATTTTATCAATTTTTTCTTCATCTTTGATGTCCTTTATACAACCATATGAGAAATTGTTGTGTTGATTGAGAACATCTTTGATTTTGGTTGTGATCCATTCCACAGTTGACATTATAAAAGATCAAATAGTTTACATTATATATGATACAAATTATTCTACTGATTATATTTTGACAATTAAGTTACAATAAAAAATCACGATAATTTTTTTCTGTTTTTGCCTTTTTGGTCACTACGACAATTGTTTTATATCAAAATCCAAAATATTACAAAAAATTGTTTAAAAAGTCGTTATTCTGAATCAGAATTTCTGATGTTTCATGTAAGAACTTAGTTGTCATTTAGAATTGGTTTAATTCTATGGAACTAGTCAACTAGGAGATGAATATCTCACATTCTTATGACCCGGTTCAGAGAATCAAACCGGTGTTCTTGAGAGTTGTTTACACAGTAATGCTTCAAATGAAAGATAAGCTCACAAGAATTTTGTATTTTTTTTGGTTAAAAAAAGTTCACAAGGACTTGTTAATAATCTTTCTCTAACTGTATAGAGAGAATCTTCCAGCATGAGAGATTCTTGGTGTCGGTGGTTTTTGAAATCACAGAAACACATCTAACGATTCGACGTTGAAAAAAATGAAATAGTTAAAAACGCAGAGAATTAATGTTATCAATCATGAATGAGAGATTCCGTTTTCATGGCTGAAATCAATGTTCCTCACTTTCTCAAAGTTGTCTTTTTCGACAACTAATAAGTATTCTTTTCCCCCTTTATTTATGGAAAAAGTAGATTATTTCTTTATTATTTTTGTCCAGAATTGATGATCTGTAACTGAAAGAATCTCTTTATTGAGATTGGAATTTTCAAGTCCAAAATTTCAGGGAAAAATTGCTCCTTTCTTTTTCTTCTCTATATCAAACTTCAAATCTCCTTCTCTCTGCTTCGTCTTCACGAGTAACCATGGACACTCTCGTTGCTCAGTTACAGAGGCAACTTCGTGATTACACCATTTCTCTCTATCACCAGGTTATCTATTTTATTTTTTCGCTTTCCCCAGAAATTTAGTAAATTTAGCACCTGCTCATCAAAGTGATTAATTTTCGTGGCTTAGAAATTGCAGATAAGTTTCAAAGGTGTCTCCTTTATAGAGATGATTCTCTGCAGTTTTTTAGGGTTTTAATTAAGCTTGTATTCGAAAATTGGGGATTTAAGAATTGGTTTAAGTGTCTGTAAAATGGATTATTGTCTCCTTTTTTTAAGGATGGCTCTCTGCGGTTATCTTAGGTTTCATATTTAAGCTTGTATATTGGAAATTGGGTCTTTTAGGAATCGGTTTCAGTATTTATGAGATGGGTTTCTGAGATTCGTTTGTTTTTTGGGTTTGTGAAGGGATTTCTGGATGATCAATTCACAGAACTGAAAAAGCTGCAAGATGAATGTAGCCCTGATTTTGTGGCTGAGGTTGTTTCTCTGTTCTTTGAAGACTGTGAGAAGCTTATCAGTAACATGGCTAGAGCTCTGTAAGTTTTATACTTTTCTTCCACTACTATCATCAAAAGCTCATCAAAAAGCATGTATGGTTAGTAACTGTTGATAAATATATATATATATATATATTCAGAGATCAGACAGGAAATGTAGATTTCAAGCTGGTCGGTTCTAGTGTTCATCAACTCAAAGGTAGTAGCTCAAGGTATGTTACATTGTCTCATTAATATCCGTCTCTTGTTTAATCTGGATTTAGTCTGAGTGAAGCGCTCCTTCTTGTTTCTATGAAGTGTTGGTGCCAAAAGAGTCAAAGGTCTTTGTATTACCTTCAAGGAATGTTGCGACTCTCAGAACTTTGGAGGGTGAGTTTTTCTTTGGATCTTCTTTTTGAATTCTGCTATGTTCTTCTGATTGTTGAGAGTAATTTAGGTAACAATCTCTGTTACAGATGTGTGAGATGTTTGCAGCAGGTGGATATTGAGTATAAGTCATTAAAGGCAAAGCTTCAAGATCTGTTCAATGTGAGTGAAAAGCAATGTGAAATTGTGAAATTCAAGAAAACATATATTTTTTTCCTTCGGATTTGATGAATATTTTTTGTATTGTTTGTTGCAGCTTGAGCAACAGATTGTCCAAGCTGGTGGTAGAATCCCTCAGGTGGATATATAAACTAGAAACCTGTCGATGAACAGAACAACAACATGATGATGATCTGGTTGCATTCTTCAAGTTATTCGCGTGTGGTACTACTTGGATGTGTTGCTTAAAAGAAGAAGAAAAAAAACTATTAGAATGTGTTGAAAAGAGAGGTGATTGTTGTTGATAGATCCGTACAATGGTTCTTCTAATAACATCTCTTTGGTTAGATCTAGACTTTTGAATCTTGATATTGATCTAATCTGAATACTGTTACCAACTGTAAATTTGTATCTCGTAAGACCATACGAACAAGAAGTATACATACACACACAAGAACAATGTCAGAAACAGAAGCAGAAGATTTTTGTGGAAGTTCTTCAAATTCAAGAAGCTACAGAAACCACATACAAGGTTACAGTCTACAAACTAATCTACCTAAGCAAAAGAATAGAGATTCTCTGAAAGAAAAAGCTCCAAGACGACAATGGCATAAAGAATACAGAAAACCAACAGAACAAACCAAGAAAAAAACACTCACAAAGATGTCCCCAGAAAAAGCTGAAACCTTTAGACTAATTCATCTGGTTATGTTACAATTTCCACAACACAAAAGTTTATCTTCGTTGGTTTTCACGACCCACCTCAAGGTTCCATTTTTAGTGGCAATGGAGGAGAGAACATCGAATCTTCTTTTCGAAGCTGGAACTCCCGCTTGTGTTCATTTCTTCCCGTGTGACTGACATTTTCGGTAACTTGTGCGTCTTCTTTACTGCACTCTGAAGAAGATTCTTCTTCATTCTCAGAGTGAACTTCTTCTTCTTCGTCTTCTCCAGAATCTTCATTCTCCTTGGGCACATATTTGATATCCTCAACCTCATTGTTTGATCCGCTTGTAGAACTTTCATATTCCTCACTTACACTTGCCTCTGGTGTATATCCATAAACCTTATAGACGTTCCCATCCTCTTCAAAGCTCACAGTTTTCCCTCCACTGCCTTTTATAACAACTCCGCTTCTGCTTCTACTTCTTGAATCACTAGCAACTTCAGCATCACGAGACATCATCAAGATCTCATCTCCATCATCAAATGAATCATCCTCTGCACTCGAAGTTAACTCATAGACATTCCTATTTTCGCCACACTTGACAGTCTTAGTAACCGGTGTCTTCGCTTTGTCGCCTTGCCTCAATGCTCCAACTCTAGACTTTGAGCTTCCAAGCTTTCTGCTGCTTTCAACAGAAACAATGGGGATTCCTTGAGCATCATCAGTCATGAAGTGGAACTCTTCCAGCTCGGCAATGTCCTCCTCGCCGCCATTGGAAGTAACATAGATTGTTTGTATCTGTTTCTTCGGTTTCTCGCTGGTGGTTCTTCTACCTTCTCCTACATGAAGCTTAGCTCCAGAACTCTTACATTTGCTCCTAAAGCTCACATCTTTCGCAGATTTACAAACAATTTCACGCCTTTTCACAGCACAATCATCAATGTAGTGTAAGAACCTCACCAAGTCTCTACACAATGTCCTTTTCCCATCTCTTATCATTGAATCAACCCTACCCTGAGAATGAAAATTGACTTTAAATAAATCAAGAGCTAAGCTTATAAAAGATTTTTCAGAATTGGATCTTTAGAACAACATACCTGAATGGAATCCAATTGCAGAAGCAAATCCGTAGCTTCTCGAGAAACGGCTTCGAAAGGGAAATGGGTTTTACCAGAGACCGAAGATTTGAGAGACAAGAAGCTAGATTTGATCGAAGCTAGCTCCTTGAGCTGCCTGAGTGATATGGATCTGCGAACAAGGTAAGACCGGAAATGGGTCTGGATCACACGCGCCGCCGAGTCCTTCAATGTAGAGTAAGAAGAGTCGCGACGAGCAGAAAATCGATTGAGCGACAAGTCGAGATCGTCGATTTTCCGGAGGAGATTGTCGTATTCTCGTTGAACGTTCTTCTGCTGCTTATGTTGCTGGTTCACGAAGCTATGTCGTTCCACGGCGGCGAATCTCGGAGACTTGGTTTCACAGGAACATTGAGTTTCTCGTTGTTGTTGTTGTTGTTGCTGATTTTGGAGATAAGAAGCAATAAGACGAAGAAGATGATCTAGATTCGGCGGGGAATCAGTTTGTTGGTTTGATTGGGTACAGCAAGGAGTACAATCTCCGAAGCAACAGGGTGATGACGTGGCGTAGTTAACGGAGATTAGAGGAATGCTTTCACGGTGGTTGTGGTGGCGCCGGCGGCAGCCGCCGTCGTGGTGGCAGTGAGATGCCATCTCGATTTTGGGTGAGAGAAAGAAAACGGACGGGCTTTGACTAGTGGGCCTCGTAGTAAATAGAAGGGGAAATTGCAGAACAAACCTCAAAGTAACCAAACTTTACAAAATAGTTCATCACCTAAGGAAAGTGAAACAAACCATCCAACCGGATTCGAAATATGTTTTATATTTTTGAGAGATTTTTGTGATTTGTATTTTTTCACCCATAACAAATGAAGTTTATAATAAGTAAAAGAAAATGTAATAAATAATATTAAATAATTAAATTTATTGTTATGAAAATCAATAAAAAAAGCGTATCAATAATTACAAATGATTTTTTTACTTTTGTGGAATCCATCGTCACTATATATACACAGTAATTTTTGTTTTTTATATTCTATATATACAAACATTTCGTTCAACTATAAACACATCTCAATTTATAAATAATAACATCTCTCTTATTCTCTTGTTTTTTTTTTATCGATCACTATCCATGTTTTTTTGTAGGTATAAAATTTTCATTTTTATTTATATTTATCATTATAATAAATTATATCTGTTATTATAACACTTACTTTACTATGCATAATTAGAATATATAAAGTTGAATATACAATGATGAAAACTAGATAGTATAAAAGAAATAAAAGATGTGCAGAAATTTGTAAGTGATCACTCGCTAAGATTTTCCATGGTTGTAACGAAAATTTTTTTGTGACATCCCAAATATTTGTTTTGGCCTAATTCTTTTTAATTCTTTTCTACAACTTAACTCCTAGTCCAATTTCTTTTTAATTCCTAATTAAAGTCCAAATCCATATCCTAACCCATGAAATTTGTTTTTAAACCAAAATCTCTAAACCAAACCTAGTGAAACCAAAAAGAAAAGGAAAGAAAAAGAGTGCAGCCGTAAGAAAACAACGAGGATAAGAGAAGAAGAAAAGAGAGAGAGAAAAGAAGAAGAAGAGAAGAGAGAAAGGAAGAGAGAGAGCTCACCGTCCACCATGAGGATCCATTGCTACCATGAGGAACAATTGCCACCATGAGCTGCACGTCTCCAGAGACCTGGAGAAGAAGAAAGTTGAAGGAGAAGGCACAGGTCTGGAGACTTACAGTTCATGGTGGCAATGGTTCCTCATGGTGGACAGTGAGCTCTCTCTTCCTTTTTCTCTTCTCTTCTTCTTTTCTCTCTTTCTTTTCTTCTTCTCTTATCCTCTTAAGAAAACGCTCTTTTTCTTTTCTTTTTTTTTTGGTTTCACTAGGTTTGGTTTAGAAGTTTTGGTTTAAAAACAAATTTCATGGGTTAGGATATGGATTTGGACTTTAATTAAGAATTAAGAAAGAAATTGGATTAGGGGTTAAGTTCTAGAAAATAATTAAAAGGAATTGGGCCAAAACAAATAATTGGGATGTCACATTTTTTACTTATAGAAGAAAAAAATTGATAGGAATTTGTCTTTGCGTAAAGGATAATGTGTTATTTGTAAACTTTGATTACTTTCAGGGCTTTTCCTACAATTCCTTCTAAACAAAGACCTTTTTACTATAATCGAAGAAAAAGATACAAACGGCACACAGTTCTTGTTTTGAATTATAATTCGGCACGCGTTCTAGTCAACTATGTCGCTTAGAAATGCGACCCAACAGATTCTTAAGTGAGTGACTTTTTTAAATGAGTGAGGTTTTGCGCAGAGCCAAACACGCACTTAGCGTCAAGCAGTACCAATCTCTCTTGAATCAGTATGCAGCTACTCAATCAATTGCCAAAACTAAGGCTTTACACTGCCACGTCATCACCGGCGGTCGAGTTTCCGATCACATTCTCTCGACTCTCTCCGTCACGTATGCCCTATGCGGTCACATCGCTTATGCACACAAGCTGTTCGAGGAAATGCCTCAAAGCTCCTTGCTTTCGTACAACATCGTCATCAGAATGTACGTGCGTGACGGATTGTATCAAGATGCTATCAACACGTTCGTTAGGATGGTTAGTGAGGGGATTCGTTGTTTTCCTGATGGTTACACGTACCCTTTTGTCGCAAAGGCTGCTGGAGAGTTAAAGTCTGTGAATTTAGGGATGGTTGTTCATGGGAGGATCTTGAGAAGCTGTTTTGGTGCGGATAAGTATGTGCAGAACGCGTTGCTGGCTATGTATATGAACCTTGGGAGGATTGAAACGGCGAGGAGAGTGTTTGGTGTAATGAAGAACAGAGATGTGATTTCGTGGAACACGATGATTAGTGGGTATTATAGGAATGGATATATGGATGATGCTCTGATGACGTTTGATCGGATGGTAAATGAAGGTGTTGATCCTGACCACGCTACAATTGTTTCCGTGTTGCCTGTTTGTGGTCACTTGAAGGATTTGGAAATGGGGAGAAAGGTTCATAGATTGGTTGAAGAGAAGCGGTTAGGGGATAAAATAGAGGTGAAGAACGTGATGGTGAATATGTACTTGAAATGTGGTCGCATGGACGAGGCGAGATTTGTCTTTGATAGGATGCAACGGAGGGATGTGATCGCATGGACTTGTATGATTAATGGTTACATAGAAGATGGTGATGTGAAAAACGCTTTGGAGCTGTGTAGATCGATGCAGTTTGATGGCGTAAAGCCTAATGCTGTTACTATAGCCTCTCTTGTTTCAGCATGTGGTGATGCTTTGAAGCTGAATGATGGTAAATGTTTACATGGTTGGGCAATAAGGCAAGAGATGTTTTCCGATGTCATTGTAGAAACATCTTTGATCAGCATGTATGCTAAATGCAAACGTATTGACCTGTGTTTCAAAGTCTTTTCGGGGGCTTCGAAGAACCAAACTGGACCTTGGAGTGCAATTATCTCTGGTTGTTTACAGAATGAGCTTGTGAGGGACGCGTTGGATCTCTTCAAATGGATGCGACGGGAAGATGTAGAGCCGAACATTGCTACACTAAACAGTCTTCTTCCAGCATATGCAACATTGGCAGATTTGCACCAGGCAATGAATATACATTGCTACCTAACGAAAACCGGGTTTATGTCAAGCCTCGATGCTGCTACAGGGCTGGTTCATGTTTACTCAAAGTGTGGAACTTTAGAATCCGCCCACAAGATATTCAATGGGATCCAGGAGAAACACAAGAGCAAAGATATAGTTCTATGGGGTGCATTGATTTCTGGCTACGGTATGCACGGAGATGGCCATAACGCGTTGCAAGTTTTCATGGAAATGGTTCGGTCTGGTGTGGCACCAAACGAAATTACATTTACCTCTGCCTTAAACGCGTGCAGCCATTCCGGTTTGGTCGAAGAAGGGTTGACACTATTCATGTTTATGCTTGAACATCATAAGACGGTAGCTCGATCAAACCATTACACTTGCATTGTTGATCTCCTTGGCCGAGCAGGTCGGCTAGACGAAGCTTACAATCTCATTACAACGATTCCATTAGAACCGGCCTCGACCGTTTGGGGTGCATTGCTTGCTGCTTGTGTCACACACGAGAATGTCCAGCTTGGAGAAATCGCAGCAGACAAGCTGTTCAAGCTGGAACCAGAGAACACTGGAAATTATGTGTTACTGGCGAATATCTATGCGGCTTTGGGGAGATGGAAAGATATGGAGAAGGTGAGAGAAATGATGGAGAATGATGGATTGAGAAAGAAACCGGCTCATAGCACAATCTAGATCAGACGTAGTTTAAGATTATGAACAGATGAAAGATAGAGATATTCATATAGGAACTAGACCATAGTTATGAACAGAAGTTACATCAGGATTTTGTATTTATTTTTGTCAATGAAATGCTCTAGGTTACGGAAACATGTGGAGAAGACACTCAAAGAAGAGATTACTAGTTTTTTGGGGTCAAATTAACATAAATTTAGCAGAAATAAATGATGTTCATACATATACAATCACTGTAACAACAAATTGGTTTGCACAACAATGATAGTTTGAGAATATGTGAATCTGAAATTGCTAGCTATTCTTGTCGAACCCTGCACAACTTCAGCTTATGATACACTTCAGACCACCTTTATGCAAAGTGATGATCCCAAAGTCCAGCAACAACAATTTCACCAGCAGAAAGAAACAGAGAGATGAGATCATAACATCTAACCACAGCTTCAAGCATTTTCTGAAAAACTCATATCGTCACTGAAGCTCGGATGCTCCCTCAGAATCGGACAAGGGCAAGAGTGTGCAAACTCCAAGCATATGTCCATTGAGACAAACATAATACTCAATGCTATCTTCATAAGCCCCCAATCTACAGCTAGCACTTTGTGGTATCATTTTGGCCTGAAGCATACTCCACAGCTTAGCTTTGCAATAAGGACAAACTTCTGTGGGATGAAACGATGTCCCTTTCCTAATAAGTAACTTCCTCACCTTTGACATTGAAAACGATTTGAAAATCCCACGGAAGAATCCCAAATCACCATCTTCTCCTTGATCCAGATGTTCACAAGGATCAGAAACATATAGAATGTCATCTGTTCGGCATTGTGGAGGAAGGAAGCTCCTTCCTGATGTTCTAGAGAAACGAGTCCTGTGAACAAAATGACCAGGGATTTGAACATCGTTAAAGAGTCCACCTTTGCTTGAACCTGAGCAGTAAATCAAAAGCTTCCCAAGTGCTCTCCAACTACCATCAACACTGTGGCTGCCACTAGATTGGAGATCACACACCATCTTTGGTGCTCTGGCTCTGCAGAACTCTTTCCATAGTAAACGCTTAGCGAGATCATCAAACCATTTACAGACGCAAGATAGAGTGGCGATTACATTAGGGTTCCAGTTTAGATGCTGAACGGTAAGGAACAATACTTCTTCGCTAAGATGTCCTTTCGTGCAATGACAAGTTGCCGAGTGAATGCAACGGTATTGTTTTGCTATTATCATTCTCTAAGCCTAGCAAGAACCAAGAAGAGAGAAAAAAAAAAACGTTAATTTTCCAAACTTTAGACAAGACATATCATACAGTAGACCACAAAACTTAAAACACTACATAACCGCAATGTAATCTTCATTGAACAAATGCATTAAATAAAGCAAAACAAAATGCATTAACTAATTGGTAAATTGACCAAATCATGAGCCAGAGATTAGAATTGCATATGATCAAAGATGGATTCTTTATAAATGAACGGCTATGCAATCTTAAGGAATCAAATTCGTTTTCTTGGTCAACCTAAATAATCTAAAAATAGGGCCTTTAAAGATTCCCACAAACCAAAACCAAAACCAATAAACCAATATCTATACATTCCTCACTACAAATACACAGATATTATAATGCAACCATATAAAGAATCTAGCACCAATACGAGGAAATAACATCAATTTCTATTCCTGAAGTAGATTTTAGGCATTAGTAGCAATTAAAAGACCATGATTTTCCCAGGAAAAGGGAAGGAAAATTCCTACAATGCGAAAGATCTCACCTTTGTTTACATCAATCTTATCTTTCCCAGAGGACCAAGAGCTTCGGAAAACCTTAAAAGTACCGACTTTGAGTAGAATCGAGAATACACTAATTAGGGTTTTGCTTGAGCAAGAGCGCAAATTTTCTGTAAATAAGAAGAAGAAAAGCAGAAAAGGATCAACATTTCAAGTAACACAGCTGTTTCCAACAATACCCAGAGAGAAAATTTTGAACTTCGCAAAGGAATGAAGAAGATGAGGAAAATGCATGCAAAGAATGGCTCAAGAAGAAGCAAATCTGCTATGTTTCCTAATTTTTGTTTCTTTCTTTTTCTGATTGTTTTCTATATAAGTGGGAAAATATGTTTGTCTGCTACTCTTGGGTTACGCTAAGGTACGGTAAAGTCTACGGTGTGGCTAATCATTTTGATTGGATGGAATTGAACAACGGTGCGTTTTGATAATTACGTTGGATTTTTAATTAAAGGGGAAGTTAATTAACTTCATACACTTTGTCTCCATCATCTATTATATTAAAACAGAAGTGTTATAAACAAATGGACTTCTAGTAACCGGCCCATTAACCATCAGGTTAATGTCTTATGGCCCATTAGGGTTTCTGATGCATTAGTTATGTAATGTATATATACACTGCTTATGGAAATAATAAGATTGGAGTTTTTCCCTTAATACGTTATCAGCACAAAGCTCAACTTCAAACGATCATATCTCTCAAAATACAAGGAGTTAGAAGGCAATCTACATATCATTTTGAAGCCCTGGAAGAGAAGAATCTAGTGGTGAAAACCGCTCCTCAATCCGACACCAGACGCGCCCTCAAGACTCAAAACAATCGGCGCTGTCCCACCTTAGCGGATGATTCTTTCCAAGCGGTGGTTCCTCCATTGTAGCAGCTGTTCGTCCTCCCTTCTGGCCATCATTCTCAGGAGTTTCCAGTAGATATCTGTGGTCTTTAGCTCCCAGATCATAAGCCGGTCAGAAATCCATTTGGCGAAAAGATATGCAAGACAATATGGATATCATTGTGAATAGTGGATCGAGCCACACCATTCTAAAAGACAAGAATCACTTCATAAATTTAGTAATCAAAACCGCAAACATTAGCACTATAGCGGATAGTTCGAGCCTAATAGAGGGCCATGGCCAAGCTAATGTGTTGTTATCAAATGGCACATATCTAGACATCTCTGATGCCTTATACTCACTCAGTTCTAAGAGAAACCTATTGAGTTTCAAAGACATAAGATTGAATGGTTTCCATATCGAAACTCAAGATGAAGGGAACAAAGAGTTTTTAATTATCACTAAAATGATAAATGGCCATAAACAAGTTTTTGAAACTATACCCGCCGTATCTACTGGCATTTACCATGCTAAAGTCAGTATGATTGAGGCTAATGCTGCTATCAAAGCATGGTTTTTAGATTACACTATTTGGCATGATCGCCTGGGTCATCCCGGTGCGAACATGATGCGTAAATTAGTCCAGAATTCTAAAGGGCACAGCCTTAAACCAAATGGTATTTTCCCTCAGCACCTCAAGTGCACAGCTTGCTCACAAGGGAAACTGATTACCCGACCTTCACCAGTCAAAGTGCCTAAAGAGACCTTGAACTTTCTGGAAAGAATCCAAGGAGACATATGTGGACCAATTCACCCACCTTGTGGGACATTCAGATATTTCATGGTCCTCATTGACGCATCGACCCGCTGGTCGCATGTCTGTCTGCTCTCTTCTAGGAACCAGGCTTTTGCTAGGTTATTGGCCCAAATCATCAGATTACGAACCCATTTTCCAGACTTCCCATTAAAGACTATACGTCTTGATAATGCTGGTGAATTCACTTCCCAAGCGTTTAATGAATATTGTATGTCCATGGGGGTAAGTGTTGAACATCCCGTTCCACATGTCCATACACAAAATGGATTAGCTGAATCCCTCATTAAACGAATTCAATGGGTTGCTAGACCATTACTCATGAGGTCACAACTCCCGGTCTCAGCTTGGGGACACACAGTCTTACATGCCGCTGAACTAATACGCATACGACCATCTAGTGAGCACAAATATTCACCATCCCAATTGCTAACGGGTCATGAGCCAGACGTCTCCCATATTAAAACATTTGGGTGTTCAGTCTATGTACCCATGGCACCACCACAGAGGACTAAAATGGGACCTCAAAGGAGGATGGGAATATATGTTGGTTTTGATTCTCCCACCATCATAAAATATCTCGAGCCAACTACAGGAGATCTGTTTAAAGCCAGATATGCAGATTGCCGATTTGATGAATCGGTATATCCTAGATTAGGTGGTGAGACAGACAAGCTGGTAAAAGAACTTTCATGGAATCAAACATCCACACAATGGCAAGATCCTCAGACTCTAGAATGTGATTCAGAGGTCCAAAGAATTATACATTTACAAAAGCTAGCTAATCAATTGCCAGATTCCTTTGCTGACCCGAACAAAGTTACCAAATCGTACATACCAGCTTGTAATGCACCAGTACGAATAGATGTCCCCTCAGGGAAAAGTCAAGTTGCTACAGAGTCTGACGCACGTAAGAAACGTGGCAGACCACCAGGTTCCAAAGATAAGAATCCCCGGAAATCAAAGAAATGTGCAATGATTGAAACCGGGATTCAAGAGAACACGGATACAGCCTCAGCTGATACTTACCCTATCGAACCATCTCAAGAGGTTTGGGACGCCAAAACTCAAGGTTCTGAAGGGATTGATAATAATGAGATCTCAATCAATTATATCATATTCGGTTCTCTATGGAACAGAAAAGATGTCGACATCAATGAAACTTTTGCATACAAGGTAGCACTTGAGATTGCGCACACGCAAGAGGATCTAGAACCCACGTCTATAATTGAGTGCACTCGTAGATCAGATTGGCTGAAATGGAAAGAAGCCATAAACGTGGAGTTGAATAGTTTAAAGAAACGGAATGTGTTTGGTCCGATCTTAAGGACACCATTCGATGTTAAACCAGTGGGAAACAAATGGGTCTTTGTGCGTAAAAGAAACGAACTCGGCGAAGTCGTTAGATACAAGGCACGCCTTGTAGCACAAGGATTCTCACAGAGACCCGGAATCGATTATGAGGAGACTTATTCTCCAGTGGTGGATGCAACTACATTTCGATTCCTCATAAGTCTGGCCATAAGAGAAAACTTAGATTTGCGGTTAATGGATGTTGTAACCGCATATCTTTATGGACCACTGGACAGTGAAATCTATATGAGATTACCAGATGGTATTGAGCTCAAAGATAAGCATGCATCTCGTGATAAACACTGCATTAGGCTGAACAAATCCTTATATGGACTGAAACAAAGCGGACGTATGTGGTATAACCGGTTAAGCGAATATCTCATCAGAGAAGGCTACGAAAACGATCCGATCAGTCCATGCATCTTCATCAGAAAATATCAAAACAAAGGATTTGTAATCATAGCAGTATACGTGGATGACTTGAACATCCTCGGAACATCTGGTGAAATCGCCCAAACAGTTGAATGCTTAAAAGCAGAGTTTGAAATGAAAGACCTAGGCAAAACTAAATTCTGTTTGGGATTACAACTTGAGTACGTCAATGACGGAATCCTTGTGCATCAATTGGCATACACTGAAAAGGTACTCAAGAGATTCAATATGGACCAGGCCCACCCATTAACCAGCCCAATGGTTGTGAGGAGCCTTGGATTGGATAGTGATCCATTCGGTCCAAAGAAGGACGATGAAGAAATCCTCGGTCCTGAAATGCCATACCTCAGTGCCATAGGAGCATTAATGTACTTGGCTAGTCACACTAGACCAGACATCTGCTTTGCCGTGAGCCTCTTAGCTCGCTTTAGTTCGTGTCCAACTCAAAGGCACTGGAACGGTATTAAGCACATCCTTAGATACCTTCAAGGTACTAAGGACTTGGGATTATTTTATTCTAACCATAACAAGGATGGTCTAGTTGGTTTTGCTGATGCAGGATATTTGTCAGATCCGCACTGTGCCCGGTCTCAAACCGGTTATGTTTTCATGCATGGAGGAACAGCAATATCTTGGAGATCCATGAAGCAGACTATTGCCGCTACCTCATCCAACCATGCGGAAATCTTGGCCATTCACGAAGCTAGTAGAGAGTGTGTTTGGTTGCGGTCCATGACTCAGCATATCCGATCAGATTGTGGTATGAACGAAGATAAGGAGCCTACGGTGATGTATGAAGACAATGCAGCTTGTATCGCTCAACTCAAGGACGGCTACATCAAAGGTGACCGGACGAAACATATTCTGCCCAAATTCTTCTTCACTCATGAGCTACAGAAGGATGGTCAGGTCAAGGTTCAGCAAGTCCGATCAAGCGAAAATTCAGCCGATCTATTCACTAAATCATTACCGACTTCTACACTCCGGAAGCTCATTCATCAGATAGGAATGCGTAGACTTAGAGATCTACAGTGATGCCTAAACCAGGGGGAGTAATGCGTGTTGTACTCTTTTTCCTTCACCATGGTTTTTCCCACTGGGTTTTCCTGGTAAGGTTTTAATGAGGCAACGTTCCCCAGCGCATTATAGAGATCCCGGTTTTGTGACAGGCACGGTTACCTTGTCCAAAGGGGAATGTTATAAACAAATGGAATTCTAGTAACCGGCCCATTAACCATCAGGTTAATGTCTCATGGCCCATTAGGGTTTCTGATGCATTAGTTATGTAATGTATATATACACTGCTTATGGAAATAATAAGATTGGAGTTTTTCCCTTAATAAGAAGCACATTTAGTACTTGCTTTCAAACACTCCTAATTTTTTTTAAGTGTTTAAAAATAATTTTAATAATTATTTATATTCAATTTCGAAAATTAGTTATTAATTTAAATATTTTTAGAGTTCCTTAAATATAGGTAATTTAGATTTGATTTGATTAAATATAATAAATCAGATATTAATTTAGATTTGATTTAAAGATTCTAATTTAAATAATTTCTATGCTATTAAATATTTTTATCAAAAATATCTAGAATTTTTGAAAAAAAAAATAATTCACATATGAAAAATAATGGTCATATTTGAAATATAAAATATTTCTAATGATGTAAATAATATGATATTTATGTTGTTTATATAATATATTTATGATTATGATTTATTTACAAATTAATAATAAAATAATAGGTAAAATTCAAATGTATAATTAAATATTAAAAATATATTTTTTAAAATTCCTAGAACTAAAAATATATATAAAAATCGGGTTAAAAATATTTTGGTAACTAAAATCACTAATTTTGAATTAT